CCAATATTGTGCGTTTCCAGATAATTGAGATCTGTATTTTCGATTGAACCGGCAATAGGTTGTGACTCGCCAGTCAAGATGGAGCGATCAAATTTAGCATCGGATGAGATTTCAACGAACCGCACATCTGCAGGTAGCTTGTTACCGGCCTTTATATAAAGTATGTCACCGGGAACTAGATCAACTGCGGCAAGTTCTACGCGGTTGCCATTGCGGAGGACAAAGCAGTCGTCGGGAAGCATACCGGAGATAGATGCCATGGTCCGAGACGACGACCAATCCTGCCATGCATTGAATAGTGCTTGAATGACGAAGACAGCATAGAGGACGATTGCAAGAGCAAGATTTGCTTGTGCCGGATTTGGTTTTCCTAATGGTTCATAGGTGATAGTGACCAAAATACCACCAATCAGTAACACTGATCCGAATCCACCAAATAGATATCCAAAGACTAAAGGATAAAAAGATCAGAGAAGATTCCAAACAAATGAGAGCATAGATGAATCGCCAATGAATATGAGATTGAACCTACCCCTCGAGAACAAGTCTGAAGGTGGCTTCGAAGGCATGTTCTTTCCGAATTCTTTTGTCTTGACCTCAACCTGTTCTTTCAAGAGACCTTGAGCAAGTGATGTCTCCAACCGATTTACAACATCGTCTGTCGACAAAGTATGCCACTCCAAATCACCAAGCTCAGCTGCAGCGCCCTTCTTTGCACGATCTGCATCGATTCGCTGTTTTTCTTTAGTTTCTTCAATGGCAAAAGATACAGTGCGGTAAGTAATTGGCAGAGCAGTTGCTGGATCGATGGAAACTCTGCGGCGCCTTGAGCTTGTAGTTGATAGCTGCGAGTTATTTGTGGCTGTCCGAGTCATTCTAGGGAGCGTGTGTATTTGTCTGCCCGTCTCTTCATCTTGTGCGCCGAATCTGATTCGGGCTTCGGGTCTAGGTTGGACGTGAAAGATTTCATCGTCGTGATCCTCGAGTGAGGTAGGTGCAGATTTTTCGTCCATGTTATTGATCGTCAGAGTATCGTAGTGAGGGTCTTAAAGGAGTAGCTGACCAAAGGCTTCGCAGATGTGTTGTTGTTAGAGAAATGCCTTGCTAATGCGAAACTGCCACTTGAGTGGGTAGGAAAGTACAGCTGTAAACCAGAAGAGCTCTTGGAGTCGTAGCACTTGTTGGCCGTTCAACGATAAAAAGAAGTGAATATGGAGAGAAGGGTGGAAGAAATTGAAGCTACCAAAAACAGAAACGGCTTGGGAATATCAAACAACCCGACGACTTCGAACGATTTGAATTTTTGAGGGAGGCCAACAACAACTTTAAGTAGATTAGAAGAGCAAGTAGTAAAAGACTTAGGAGATACAGCAACAAACAAGCTCGAGTAGGTACGGCAAGCAGATGGGGGCAGTGCCAAATTATCTTTTGTTTCCAAAAGACTAGTTGATGGATACAGATCTACCTTGTCCCAATTTTTTTTGTAGAAAAATGAGTTGTCCTACCAGAAGTTGTGGCGTAAGCGTGGGAGCATATGCAAATTTTCTGATTGTGATATATATCGCGCGGAACAATTTCGCATCTCGTGAGAATGTTATAGATAGGTGGGTAGTAGCACAAGCTGTTTCCATCATACAGCTACCTACATATAATACAAACTCACTTGCATTCCAGAAGCCAAAGCCGAATGTGGTCTAGATCTGTAACTTCAGGGCGCATCTGGAAGCCCGTCAATTTTGACATCAACGTAATAAAATTGAAACCACCCATGCAAGTGGTCGCCAATCTCTGCATCTTAGACGTTGTATCAAATCGCTCATATAAAAATTGAATGCGTTCGGTGTTGAATTGTTATAAATGTGGTCTTTGTAGTGAAAACTCGATCCAAGTCCGCTGGTCAACGTTAGGTTAGCTGCGAAAATGATATCTGGGAAATAAATCCCTCATGGAGCGAACAGGGCCTCCTTGCTCGATTGATTGATTGTTAAAAAGACACCACGAGCAATTCGATTGGTTGCTGTTATTGTATGATATAAAGGATACTGCTAATAGTTATGTCGTACGACACACTGAGATTTGTATTGCAAGTTCTGAAAATATATATATCAAGTTGCGTAGTAACCATTGAAGATATATCGAAAAACAGTCTGTTAATAAGATGGACGTTTGCGGGGCGCTTTCTTCCCCTTGTCATTCGCGTTCAAATCAAGCTTTGTGAGAGAGCACGTTTAAAGCTCGAGTAATAAATTGCTGGGGTTCTGGGTTGGCACGGTCGGTGGGTAAATTCCATGTGGCTGTAATAATAACAAATTGTAAATGCCATGTCAAGGGCAAAGCAGGTTGACATATCGAATCCCGTGTACTAGGTTCTTGGTACGTAACTTGTAAGTAGTCCTCGTTTTTAGCAGTGCACTTTCCTCCCACATCCAACAAGTCGCAAATTTCCACATGCTATCGAAGCCTCCTTGAATTGACAAATTAAGTTGTCAAACTTTCGTTATCGGATTGCCAGATAGATTGGCTCCAATTAAGACACGGGATGTAATGGTCGACAATATTTACCTAGGTAGTAGCTGAGAGAACATTGCAGGACCGAAACCAGCGAGACAATTTTCCACCGCGAGATGCTCCTTTTTTTAATAATTTTTTTTATAAAAAAGTTTGTTCGCCCATATTCAATGGTCTCCATCTTATCAATTTTTGGGAACTCAAAAGCTTTCGACGAACCCATTGAAATTAAATTTATAGCCCAGAACCAGTTGTTGAAATTATCTGGTGTGAGTTCGTTCTCGCGCGTACACACAAAAAGCGCTCCACGAAGTACTACCACTCCAGGTACAGCCAGCGTGGAAAATTCTACGTTTGTAGTAGTTCCTAATCTCCGTTTTGATGTACAGCATCAAGTATAACCAGGAGTCTTACTAATAGCCTCGCGTAAGATGTCAAGTTACTCTTGGTTTCATTCTCGTCGATTTTCCGTAAGGCTGGATCTTGGCTACAATTGTGATGATGGTCATATTACCAAAGATCTGTCACGAGTTCTGAAAGCTACCAAATTTTTCAGTTGGTCTGGCGTGGGGGTTGGAGATCTGGGTCATTTATGTCTGTGGGCACAGCATTGGTGCCTCTCAAGTAGCAAATGATGATGTGCCACCACTCCTTTCGCTATCGTGACAGGACCTACTAGTTACCCCATTTTTCTGCAGCTTCTTCACCATTCGTCGATGGGCGCGGGTTGTAGAATGTACTTGCCATTGACCTTCAGTCATAACGACGATGTGACATACTTCACATTTCTGTGGCACCCATCGGGCTTTGCTCTCAGAGTGCTGCAAGGGCTTTTCGGGATTCAAGAATTCTCCGGCTAGAGTTGACATTTCACTTGGTGATGGCAGCTTGCTGCCAAGAAGAAATTCTTGGGTAATACCAACAGCAGGGTCCGACACACTCTCCAACCATGATGATACATCCGTTCCATCGAGGAGATATAACCTATCGAGGGCGTTCATTTGAACAAGACTTGGTATCAATTTCAGACTGATCCATCGAATTTGTCTTTTCGCATATTGTCGGGTGGCTGCCTTCATTTTTTCTAGCGAATCATCGCGGAGGGCATTCAGCTTTTTTGGATCTCTGTCCTCCTGCTCAAGGGCGCGTAGGTACAGCTCAAATTCCTTCCAGCCGATAGAGGCCCATATTCCACGAGAAAGATCAAGATCAGCACCACCACGAATGTATTCTTGGCGAATGTTCTCCATCGATTTGACTTCATCCAATAGGCCAACATCAATCATCTTATCGACTCGTTTGTCAAGCCTCGATTTGAGAACATCTGATTTCGCATGAACCCAAAATAGCAATGGTGAACCTATGTTGAATGCCTCTGCTTGATCCGAGTTACCGTCCGAGGTCGCCTGGGCCATGGCTTTGATCTCTCTCTGCTCCTTATAGATATCGGAGGCTTTCTTTCCACTTGTCAAGAATATTTGCAGCGATGTTTGAATCTTGCGCCGATCATTAGGATGCCACTGTGCAGCCATGACAGGATCAACTTCCCTCAATCGCTCCAGAATTTGTTCTGTGGGTGCATCGAGTATTGGGAATCGTTTGGATATTTCTTCTATGGAGAGTTGTTCATTATCCTGCCCCTCCCCAGAACCTTTCCCGGAGGAAACGAGCTCATGCTCAAATAGAAGAGACTGTGTATAGTAATGCGTTCCGCCTACTACAATAGGTATTCGTCCCCTGGATCGAATTTCTTGGATTATCTGGCTTGCGCGATCCTTGAATGTGCCTACCGTCCATGTTTCCGCATCCAGGGGAATGAATCCTAGCAAGTGGTGTGGAATACCATTCTGTTCTTCGACAGTGACCTTGTTTGTAATGATAGGTAAGCCTTCATACATTTGCACAGCATCACCATTTATTATTTCGCCATTAAATCGTTTTGCGAGGTCGATAGCCAACTGTAGGATGATTAATTAGCCGTCGTTCTCAATGACAGACTTCTAGACCCACTTGTGATTTTCCAGTACCAGTCGCACCGAGAACAAATAATAAAGGATCCTTAGGAGCTGCACGAGCCATTGTTAATAGCTTCCTAAATTTGTTGTGTATTTGACGTAACATTAGGAAGAATTTAATCGAGTGACGGCACTCGGTATAGCCAAAATAATTTGGTATTCTTGTTAGTGGGGTTAGCCTTGTCAGCCTAGCCTGCAAGGCTACACGCACATTCGAAATTAATTGCCTGCCAAGGGCATTTTTAAAGTACCCAGGTACTGGACCTGAAAGTTGTGAGAACTAGACGCCCATCTGGAGCTGCAGGTGGTATATGCATAGGTAGCTGACAGAACAACGAGAATTGTAAAGGGATGGTAAGATAATTGAATATGAATTAATTTGATTGACTGTCAAAGAGCCTTCTTATGCCATACCTGTAAATGCTCAATATGCAGTCCTGAACACCTTGCTAAGAATATCTAACAGCTGAAAATCCCTTACGATACAATATCCTCAAGAATGTTTTCTAATTCCTCCTTTCTAAAAGGTACAAACAGCACTTCTGTCCCCAGAGCATCTTTTCTACTCTCTATCATTTGGTGATCATGAAATCTAAGCAAGGATTAGCTATCATCATATATCGATACGACGACTATAAACTTACTCTTTCAACAACGTTCTGAAATTCATCTCATTACTGCAAATGAATTCCTCAACAGCTTTCTGGTATAGCACCCTGTATTCCACACCTGGCTCACTCTTCCTACTAGCAACTCCATGTACGCCATCTTCATCGTCATCATTATGCTCGCCTATGAGGTTTTCATCCATAGTTGCAAGTTGTTCCCCAACCAAGACTCTGAAAAGATTCTTTGCATTTTCAGGCAAACTCTTGAGCACAAAGCTTACACCTCCTTTGCCCCCTACTTTGCGTCCGCTCCTGCCCAAAAGTTCATGCACTTCATCTACAACGTCAACTTCTACTGTATAAGGTAGAAAAGTTGTACAATCGTGAAAGAGTAAGTTGAAAGCTGAGCGAAGCGAACTATCCCAAAGCAAATGGAAGGAAGGGTGGTCTACAGACACAACTAGATGTACCTGTGGGTGAGAACTCAAGCGTGAGAGTATCGTTTGGGACGCAGGGCGACGAAGAGCAGATCCATCGAGAGAATGGATTATTAGAGTCACATGTTGAGTTTTGTCTTCATCAAGTATATTCGTGAGGTTTTCAAGCATTTCTGCGGGTTGTGAACCTATTTTCGTGCCATGACCAGAGATAGAACAGGCTATTGTAGTCAAAAGCTCTCGGATTGTGAGGTTTTGTACATAACCATTCACTACGACTATTCTCTGCCGAGAATGATCAGTCATGGTGTTGTAGATATGCTCCGCAAATTTGAGAAGAAGAGACCTTTTTGAACCCCAACCATAAACACAAATGTTGAAGTCCTGGCCGAGCTCAAATTGCCATTGGTTGAAAGATTTGGCATGTACATCCTGTAGAAAGTTCATATCATCTTCGTGCTGGTCTTTATAGTTCCGAGCAAGACTAAAATATTCTTCGTGGTCTAGTAACGCCAAAGAAGATAGATTGGAATTCGCAGTTTTGGATCTCCCGGGCTTATTTTGAGAGAAGTATAATTCGTGAGGTGTAAGATCCTGAGGTGGTGTCAATGATCTTTGCCGAGCCTTTGGTCCCTTTAATTGCCCCCGTCCACGCTTAGAGGGAGTAGACGGTTCGCGTAGATCTTCAGATAATTGAATTGTATCGTCGTTGCCCATTCCAATTTCCCCATCTTCGTCTGAATCGTATATCTGGTTCGCAATATCCTCTTCCTCGTCATCATCGTCGCTATTGAGGCCTAGTACTGTACGTTCAATGAGGGTTCTAGTACTCTTCCTCCTGGCCGATCGATCAATGTTGCGTCGAAGGCGTGGAGTTTCATCTGTTCCAGTTATGCCTTTGACTTTGATAGGTGTTGCGAATAATTTCTCGCCATGTCGTAAAGACTTGGGAGTCGATTGATTCTGAGCTTTAATCGGGCTTAAGGTAGGACGACTGGGTGACCCGTGAGCCTTCGACTGCGATTCTGGTAGCGTAGCATTATTGTTGTTCAGATTTATTTCTCTGTCTTCCTCCGAATCTTCTAAACCGATAATATTCTCTTTTTCCCCAGTAGGAGATTGACTTCGTTTACTTGCAATATTGTTGTTTGGAGAAATAACGTCCTCGGATTGGTGATGTACTTCTGCCGATATTCGATTACTTGATCGAGTTCGTTTAACATGAAGGTCGTTGTTGCCTCTTGTTCTTTCCTTCTTGTCTTGTTGTTTTCTTTTCATCGCGAGCTTGAAGGTAGGTCTATCCGGACAAGCATTTGGATGGAGACAATTTATATGTTAATTAAGGAATTTATTACCTTGAAATAGCCTTGATTATCAATTGCCCAATTAGATGTTAAGGACATCAGTGAATTCCATGTCAGGGCAAGGCTTAAACGCGGGGAATCGCGGTTGCGGTTGCGGTTGCCTGGCACATTCGCGTCCGATCTAATCCTTGTAAGTAAACAAAAAGGGTTCAGGCACTAAGTGTATTTTCCAAAGGAAGTTTATGGATGTACTGTACTTTATGATAACCACCTTCGCGAATTACTAATTGGTGGAAAATCTATGGGCATTGATTTTTCGTAAACTTCTTGCAGTTTGCCACCTTAAATATGCTCAACTGGTGGTTAGGACGGCCTGATGGTGCCGAGCGCGTTGCAGGTATAAACTTATCATAACTTACCCAAGTATATAGAAGACGCAAAATGCTTACACTTCATAGGTGCAGACCCCGAGATAGATGCACCGGAGACTCCAGCCCCGGTCTTTGCTGCTCGCGCACTCAAAAGTGCCTTCTTTGGTACGCCTGGCCTTCCGCAAGACGATACGCTATATGGACTTGAAAAGGAGGACGATCCAATATCAGACAGAGATAATCGGCTGCCACATTATCTATCAGCTTCTCCAACGAAACCACCAGGAATATTAATGACACCCGGAACTGCGGCGACTCGAAGAAAGACTGTTTCTTTCGGATCAGATGTTGATGATAACGAAGGCAAGGACAGGCCACAGAAGATTGTTGGCAGGGCACCAACACCAGGGAAAGCCCTCACTTCATGGGTCGCCCAACCGGAAGAACTATCACAGCCGAGCAGAAAGACCTCGCTTTTAAAGACTTTAGAAGACTCTCGTGGATCGGACAGTGCATTCAAAAAGCGCAATCAATCTTCTACCACCTTTTCGACATTGCCAAATTCAGCTTTGACTAAGGCGAAGGATGTAAAGACACGAAATGACACGAAGGAACCAAAAAATTCAAGATCAAATGATGTACAGCTAGCGAAAGAATCAATGTCTGGAGTCGACAGTGATGCAGATATTACGATTGACATCAACGATCCTCGGTCCCAATCTGGCAAATTCTGGAAATCCGAATTCCAAAAGTACCACGATGAGGCGCAGACTCAGATGAAGAAGCTAGTAGGGTACAAGCAGCTCGCAAAGTCTTATGCGAAGAAAAAAGATGCAGAAGCTCTCGATCTCGCAGAAAAACTGAAGGAAGAGCAAGCCAAAGTTGCCTCGATGGAAAACAATATCACTGAGTTAATGTCGCAGATTGCAGCAGATGGGAAGGTTAAAGGGGACACTTCGCCGGCACTCATGAGGGAACTTGCTCGTCAGACTGCCTTAGCTTTTCAATATCGTGTCCAAGTAGAAGAATTTCGCAAAGCTATGGAAGGGGATGGAAGTCTTGCAGCAGCTGTCCCAAAGTCTGAATTGAGAAATGCGAAGAACGAGCCCAGAGACACAGCCTCCATCCAAAATGAATTAGAGCAAGCGTTACAAGCTTTAGCCACCGCCGATAGAACTGTTTCTAAGCTTCAAGGGGAAAACAACAAGCTTTCACAAGATTTGCTACATTCCGATCTGCGATTCGAGAAGCATACAGAAAGCTGGGAGAAGCGTTTAAAGCTCGTAGAAGGACAACGCCAGAAGAAAGAGGATCGCTTAAAGGCTCTTCAAAAAGATTACGATCACATGAAGCAAACGGCAAAGAGTTCAAGACGCGAGACAGAGCAGCTCTTGAGAAAGCGCCATGATCAAGTAGTGGAACTTAAGAAAGAAATCGCATCATTGAAGGGTGAGCAATCGGCCACAACAGATTTGGAACAGGCTCTCCATATCAAGTCCATCGAATACGATACAATGGTCGATGCATACGAGAAGGAGATAGCCAAATTGAGAGAGCTTGTTCGTGGTTCTACCTATGACGAAGTAACAGGATCGGGCTATGATTTGTTCCGAACCAGAAGCCATCCAATTGAGAAGTCGCATGCTTTTACAAGTAATATTCCAGTCTTGAGTCATTCCATTGCACGGCCATCCAAAACAGTTGCCTCCTCTAAACCTACACATTCTGAAGCACCCACTGATATCACACAACGATCGTCACATGCAGCCTTATCTGAGATTACTAATCTTGCGTCTACGGAACAATATGCTTTTCAAAAATCGAAGAAGGTTGATTATACTCCTCTCGCCAATCGATATGCGGATCTCTCCCTCGATTCACCAAATGTGGACTTGCAAGCCGAAGACGCGTCCTTGCCTCCTCTTCGTACACGAACCAGTCGTGAGAGGTCTCTAGACAGCCCCAGACCAAAGATATATAACATCCCCTCAAGTCCTCCTAAAGCTACAGTATCTCGATCCAGAGCCGTTGACCAGCTTAAGTCAAATAACGACCGTGGGGTACCTCGTCCGACCACTGTTGCATCGAGCCGAAGATCCAGTCCATCAAAGTGTGTCTTGCCTCCAGATAGAGTTGCAGCTGCCAAAGCAAGGCTAGCCCAAAAGAATGCTGAGAAAAGAAGGGCTCAGGCATCAGGGATGAACAGCATTCGATAATTCTAGTCCGTTTTGAGCGTTGTTCAGATTACAAATTTTGGAAGTGGGAATACTGATTCTACTTGAATTCATGTAAAGTATGATTCTTGGCGTTTATCAAAGGCAATACCAACGGGACGGCGTTATATTGTGTTAGCAAAATTTGTACCATGATACCTCGAAGATATATATATTTTCACTTTTCGCATCAATCCGTCGCCCTGTTATCATGAAAAGACTTCAAAAAAGATGTGAAAGTTTGTATGTGATCCACATATCTAGACTCAAATGGAATCTAGTTTATTTGTGCCCAAGCTGGTAGTAGTTCAACATTTGCACAATGTTCAGGAAATCAAGTAGTGATGTGGTTATTGGGAACAGAATGGGACTATAGTATAAAGGGGTATATTCGCTTACAGTGGCTACACTTCAAAATGATCCCGACCACTGCACGTTATACGAGTGAGTGCGTATGTAATTGTGAAATTCCTGCAGTGAAATCAATGATAACAAAATCTAAACGTTTGGTTGGAGTTGCCTTTCCATCGGCACATATGACATCGTACCCGCAATTTGGCAGATAATTGAAGATTCGATTGTATTCCACTTATTGTTGTTAGCGCCACTTAGGTCCTTGTGATTACTAACTACCTAGGTATTGATTGCTTATCGTAAAATCTACTCCGTGCCCCTCGCCTCTCGGTGGCTCCGTTCATGACACGGAATAAAATTGGGAACTGCCAACATAGATACTTGAAACCTCTAGTTGGTACGTACTTGATTGTGTTAACAAGTCCACCATAGGTAGGACACATATCGTACTGCTGAACGAATCCGAAAATCATCAGTTGGGGTTGAATGATACGGCAACATCATATCCCGACCGGCCAAGTGGCTAGCTACTGTTGGTGATTCTACGATATACTCCGTATGAATTATGCCATGCTTGCCATGCCTCAGTATTGATTGAAATCATCCAAATCATGCGACTCGGGTTTTGACTATTTTTGGAGATAAGCGCAAGATGCTCACTCGACTTCACCCTGACACTTTTGGGGAATCCACAATAATCCAAAGCTTAAAACCAATTTGGGGTATTCACTGATTCACTCGTTTTGTCATTTTGGCACACAATCCTTGCTCTTTGAAGGCGAGTCGCTGGTGCCCGAAAATAACCGTAGCAAACATTCTGCATTCTGCAGACTACGGAGCAGTGGCGCAACGTACCTTGGGCAAATCAGCCAGCGAAACTGACTATTTTAAACTCTTACAAAACCATAGGTACTCGTACATAACAATACATAATCCTCGACTTTCGACTTTCGACTTTCGACCATCATCCAACATTTCTCCTTTTTTCTCTTCGACGATACTTGTAAAGGCTTCTCTGTTCTTCCGGTTCAATCTACCATATAAAAGTCTGAATTCCTGACTACTCAATACTCAATACTCAATACTCAACACTCAATCCTCGACTCCCGACATTCTACAAGGTCTCACTTTCGACACACACCCAACCTTGTTGGTCATCCACTCTTAAACAACCTCATCTCTGTCATTCACATTCATTCAGTCTTACTCGAGTCGTTTCTGGATCAAATCATCCCTACTATAACTACCACTCTAATTAAACCTGTCTCGACTCCAAAGTTCTTTGCAAAAATCTACTTCTCAACTTCTATCGACACCATTTGAGAGTGCACAATAAAGAACTTTGTCAAAATGTCTGCCGTTGCTGCGAAAAATCGTTTGATGTCCGAGTACAAGGGACTGGCCAAAGAGAAATGGGTCAATATCGAGGTAGGAGATTCTTGCATAATGGCTGCTCTTCTCGAAACCAACTAAACTTATTGCACAGATGAATGAAGACTCCCTCTTCAAATGGCAAGTCGGTTTGATGGTTGTTAACGATGAGAGTGCTTTCAACGGTGCTTATTTTAAGGTGAGAATTCTTTGTTTTATTGTGATTTACAGCTACTGATTTTCAACCACAGGCCGAAATGACTTTCACCGACAATTATCCTTACAGCCCTCCTACCTTCAAATTCCTCCGACCAATTCAACACCCGAACATCTATCCCGACGGTAAATTATGTATCTCAATCTTGCACCCACCTGGAGAAGACGAGCAATCCGGAGAATCTGCCAGTGAACGTTGGTCACCTCTACAAGGTGTTGAATCTGTCTTGCGTTCCATCCTTCTGCTCCTTGATGATCCCGAGATCAATTCTCCCGCCAATGTCGATGCTGGGGTTATGTACCGTGATTCTAGGGAAAAATACAACGAGAAAGCTAAAGAGGCTGTTGCTGCTTCGAAGCAGGATATTCCGGCCGGGTTTGAAATGCCGAAAACACTTGAGACTGCCCCTCCTGCGAAACTTGTAGATGACGACGCGTTCTGGGCCGAG